TGCTATAGGGCGCGTGCGCTCCCCAGACAGTCAGAGAGAGACATTAGAGACAGAAAATGAGAAATCCCCCCCCCCCAGGGGGGGATGGCCATGCCGCAGTCCCTTCTCCTCCATTCTCCTCTCGGGATCTTGGGCACGCACGCACACGTGCCTGGCGTGAGTTTTAAGCCACCGGGTCTGGGACGTGAACTGCAGTCGACTACGTGGGAGTCCCGCGACATAGCCATTACGCTAACTGCTGGTTCCCGAAATTGCCCTTATTTATTCCCATATGCTCCCCCATTTCTCCATTTCTTTGTTCAAGACCCCTGGAAGGACTTTGCTCCTCCCAAGCAGAAGAGTTGATGAGGATAGATGGGGGGAGGGCTGGCCGGAGGCAGATGCCTAATAGATAGGAGGGGCTGCCATATCTTCCTTCAGAGACCCAAATAACTACTGTCATAGAAGTCACATTTTGCATCTCACCCTCATGACTTTAAGAGAGATTTTGTCAAAGGTTTCCCTAAAATTCGGATGTCATATATTTAGAGCATTGGCACGACGCCTTCAAAAAGCAGGGATGTGTGTGAACCAATGAATCACTCTAAACAGGTACCTATCCAAAATAAAAAGTGCAACAGCAAATCTGGTTAGTTTGATGGGATGGTTTTTCTTGTGCGACTCCACTCTACTGGTTCTGAGCAATTGCAGCTTTAATCTCTTGTGTGCATCTCAGTGTGCTCTTGTTCCCATCCATTTGTGGAGCATACCAGTTCTCCTGGGAGGAGCTGTGTGCTCTGGGACCAGGAGTGAGTGGCCCGTGTCTTTGGGATACTGCGCCACAGGAAAAAGGGAGCTAACTTCGAACATTTTCTGCATTTGTCTTATGGACTAGCTTTTATCCCAATCAATCCACAATGTTTTCATCATTGTCTTAACTGTTAAGCCATCATATGCCTTAAACAATGGAAACAGGCCAGCGGGGGGTGTGGTGGTTAAGGCGCTGGGCTCCCACATTGGCAACCACAGTTCGAGTCCTGGACTTCTCACTTTCCCTCTCTCTCTGTGTGTCTCTCTGGTGAGCACAAGTGCTCTATAGCAAACTTAAAAAAAAAAAAAATTGGGGCCGGTAGGTGGCATGATGGCTAAGGGCGCTGACCCCCATATGGCGGACTGCGGTTTGAGTATCAGACCTGGCGGCTTGCCTTCTCACTTTCTCACTCTGTCCCTGTCTGGTCAAATTAAAATAAATAAATAAATAAACAAATAAATTCAATAAAATAATTATTTATTAAAAATAATAATAATTTAAAAATAACGGAGACACTGATTCCAAAGAGAGTGTTTGGGAGAGCTCTTGTACTCTCTTGATGGCCCCAGGCATGCCTCTGGCCTGCTCTCAGAGCTGCACTCCCAAATCCCACACATGTGCTCTTGAATCCTGGCTGCTTTCTTTTCTTTTGTTTGTTTTGGCTTAACTTTGGCTAATTGACTAAATATTGCTTCATGTTAGTAAAAGGACCCTTCACACCAAACTCTTTGAGTGTCTTTGTTTCTGTCAGCTTTACAAGTTCTAAACTATGTACATGTGTGGGAGATATAGTTAAAACGGGTAGCCAGAGGTATTTTAGAAACCCCAATGCTCTTAAAAACCAAAACAAACAAAACAGCTTTCCTCTCTACAGTGTCTTTCAGTAAAATCTGAAATTTTGTTCATGGGAGGAATTGGGTTTGTGATTGCTAGAAAGCATAATTTTCACCCAAATATTACATAATGCCCTTTGAGACAAAATTCCATGTCAGAATAAGAATTAGATGCATTCTTTCCAAAATGAGAGGGTCTAACCTGGACTTTTTCTTTTTTTTTTTTTAATTGCCAGAGAGCACGTTTGCTTGCTAAAGAGAGAGAGAGAGAGAGGAAGAGGGATAGAGCACCCCAGCGTTTAATCATGGTCACGCCACAACCTCAGTCATGGCACAGTCGTGCCTCAATCTCTCCTCCATCCTGTGGGATTCGAGGCGTGCACACACACTTGCCTGGTGTGTTTATCAAGCCACTGAGCCAGGACTAGAACTGAAGTCAGCCATGTGGGATTCAGCCCCTTTAACCATTAGACTATGACTGACCCTAAGCTGGATATTTTGAAAAATAGAAAACTAAAAGGCCAGGCCAGCAGGTGGCATGGAAGTTAAGGCTCTGAATCCCACATGGCCAGCATCGTAGTTTGAATCTCTGGCATGTGTGCCTAAAATCTCAAGAATAGAGGAGAAAGGATTGCGAAGTGTCCATCCTTCCTGAAAGGACCAGGAATCAGGTCTAGAAGAAAAAGTTTTGAAACTAAAGAGAAAATACTTTTGGTTCCCACCCCTTCCTTCAAACACTAATCACAGTAAGCCATAAAATATGTCTCAAGGAAATTCTACCGTATAGTGTCTTGAGTTTTTATATGATGGGTTCTTACTTCACCATTTGAATTGTTTTCAAAGATTTTGGTATTTTGGATCAGCCAGGTGGTAAAGTAGTTAAGACGCTGAATGCCACAAGTGGGTTGCATGTCGTGTGTGTCCAACATCTAGAGAAGAGAATGGAGAAAGGATTGCCAGTAGTCATCCCCCGGGGTGCTTTCTCACTTTCTCTCGGTCTCTCCCCACCAGGGAACCACCCTTTAGCGCGCGCGCGTGCGCGCGCGCGCACACACACACACACACACACACACACACACTTCGTTTTCCTTTGTAGGCTCTGATACTTTCTGCTGAAGAGGTGTATTTTGATTTTATCCCAATGTTGAGCGAGTGTGCAAGGACTGGACTACGCGCGCCCGAGGTCTGCACCTGTCTGCACCACAGTGCAGAAAGGTTCCAATCTTAGAGCCTCTGCAACTTCTAGGAGACGGACTTGGGAAATCTGGAATCTCCCTGGAGCAGAAAGTCCCGCCCCGCCCAGCCCCGCCTCGGCGGGAGGGCCGTCCGTGGCTCGGTTGCCCAGGCGACCAGCGCGCGGCCCCGCCCCCAGCGCCCAGGCTCCCGCGCGGACCTGAGCGGCTGAAGTCGGGCTCTAGTCCCTGAGCTCAGCGAACGCGCGATGACCACGTGGAGCCTCCGGCGGAGGCCCGGCCGCACACTCGGGCTCCTGCTGCTGGTGCTCTTGAGCTTCTTGGTGCTCCGCAGGTGAGGGGTGCCCCGTCCGGCTCCTGCTGGACTCTGAGGACCCCCGCGCTACACCGCGGGTCTCCTCTCCTGTGACCCCCCAAGCCGCGAGTTCTCTCGGGAACAGCCCCAGCCTCCTCACTGGTGGAGCTTCCCTAACCCCGGAGTCCCCGCGCGCCTCCTCAGAGCTTGTGCTTTGAGTTCCCTCTCGTATTCCAGCCTGCGATGCAGGGCTTGGCCCTCTGGGAAGTCCCTCTGTCCCTCTAGACGCCCCCTCACTGCTCGCTCGCGGGTCTCCGCGGGGAACCCCCTCTTGCTCTTCTCCCAGACCCGCAGCTCCTCCCAGCCTGCTGGAAGACTCCAGGACTGCGCAGAGGCCCGCGCTCCAGCGGCCAGCGTGGTGGTGGGAACGCTGTCACCTGGGCCTCCAGGACCCTGGCCCTGTTCTCTGCCCGCCTAGGACTGGTGCGTGGCTCTGTCCGCTTTCCCACCAGCACCAGCGCCAGCTCACACCTCTCTCCTGCGTTTACAACATGCTGTTTATGGCAGATGGTTGGGGCCAGGGGTGGAAGGACTTCGCTGGAGCTTAAGTTTTCCGGGTGCCCTAACCCAGACTTAGTCCTAACTGTGTCTATTTATAGTAGTTATAGGCTCCTGCAGTCCTGGCCATGCCTTCCAGGTGGATGCTGGCACTTTCCATATTCAAAACCCCCAGAGGCCTGGAAGCTGTCCATCTGTGCTGGCTGGCATGACCTGGGCGCTCTGGGGCTGGGTCTCTGCAGCTGGGGGCAGGCACCCACCCCATCCTGGCTCTGGATCCTCCTTTGTCCCCTCCCTAGTTCCTCTGAACTTCCTTGGAGGACAGGGAAGTTTCTGATGGAGATAAAAATGTGAACGTTTTTGCTGTCACAAGAGCACATGTAGAAACTCTACTATTTATCCCTTTCCAAGACTCTCATGCCTTCTTAGTTTCTGGGATCCAGTGGGTGTGATAACATTGTCTGAGAGAAGTGCTTCTCTTCTCACTTTGCAGCCCCTAACTTAGGAGGCAGCTCATTTTCCGAGACTTTTCCCACTGTGCCTGTGGTCTCTATCCCACCTTGCCTGTGGTCTCCAACCTAGTCCTATTGGAAGATTGATTCTGGCTCTGGGAGGGAGCGCAGTGCAAGGCTGATGCAACCCCCAGGGGGGTTGGTCCAGCAGGGGCAGGGGAGCCTGCTGTGTACAGAAGGGCCCTGAGGCCCCTGAGCTCCTTGCAGACACCTGTTGTTTGTCAGTTGTTGCTCCCTGAGAGCAGTCCCTGCAGGGGAACCAGGCAGGTCACTATGAGGAGCAGCACTGAAGGGCCAGGGGGTACACCCTCCTCGTCCCCAGGAAAGGGCGGGGCAGGATAGGTGTTTCTTGGTGGCAGGATGAGCTGAGCTGTGGGGGCAGCTGAGTGGGCTCTGAAGACCCCGAGCTTCTTGCATGCAGGTGCTTGTGTCCCCACTTGGGTGCAGTGGCCAATGTAAGAATCCATGGGGGCTTGTGGAGTGACCCGGGCACGGCAACAGACAGTAACCAGCTCTGACTCAAGCCCGTGGAACTAGTTTGAGATCTCAGGAGAGCTACTGTTCTTCCTGTTTCCTTTCCTTTCTCAGCAGACAGTGGAGGCCAGAGAAGCGCTGAACCCCGTTCAGGGCCGTCTCTCAGGATCCTTTAGAATATATGTCTTTGTCCAGCTCCGTGGCCTGTTGAGTAAGGCAAGCAGGTCCCACATGGCTGACCATGCAGTTTGAGTCCCACGCCCTTGGCTGTAGAAACACACTGGGTGCGTATGTGTGTCTGGAACCCAGACAGGAGGGAGGGATGGAGGAGAAGGCATCGTGGTGTAACCATGCCCCATGGGGTTGCTTTCTCCCTCTTCCTCTCTGTCTGTCTTTCACTCTGGTAAGCTCACTTTCCTGCTAGCAAATAAAACCAACCAACCAAACAAAAAATAGACATCTTTTTGCTGTCCTTTTGATGGTGTCACCCTCACGGGCACTTCCTGCCCAATGCCTTCTGGCCAGCTTAGGCTGGACACCAGTGATGTTCCACTTCTCTGGAGGAAAATGTCCTCCATCTGTCCCTCTTCAGGCCTTGCTCCAGCTGTGACTGGGTCATTTACTGAGTGGGTGGTGGGGCCTCCCCCAGCTTCCGGGGGGTAGGGGGGAATGATGAGGTGGCCGGTAGAATGTAGGTCACATGAGAACTGGCTGCTCCACTCACGGCTTCGTGGAGTCAAGCCTTCAGGCCCACACTATCCTGAACCCCAGAGGGCAAGTGTGTGGAAGGCAGTTGGTGTGCGGCGGAAATGGGGGGAATGGAGGGGGTGGTGTTTGGCTGAAGTTTTCATCTCTTTCCATGAACTTTTCCTTGGATTGGTGCATGGTTAATCACAGCTGTTGAATTTCATCCCATCTAAGAGATAGGAGGACCAGGTTGACTTTTGTGGAAAGAATTCCACCTCTGCTTTTTATTTGCTTTTTTTTTTAGCTTGAACAATGGTCCTTCTTTTTCTTCTTCTTTTTTTAAAGCACCATTTTTTTCTTTTAATTTTATTTTGATTTGACCAGAGAGGGAGAGAGAGAGAGAAAGCAAGCACCAGGTCTGGGACTTGAACCACAGTCGGTCATGTGGGAATCCAGCACCCTTAACCACCATACCACCTGCTGGCCCTGAACAATGGTCCTTCTTAAAAATCCCCTTTATTGAGGTATCATTGTCATGCAACAGACTGCATAGTTCACGTGTGGTTTGATACTCCAGGACACGTATACCCCTCATGGAACACCTCCACAATGAGGACAGTGAGCATACCATCAGCTCTCCCTCCTCCTCTCTGCTCCCCAGCCCCAAGCAACCTCTGATTTGCTGCTTTCTGCCACCATATTAATTTGCATTTTCTAGGGGTTTATGGAAATATAATCCTGAAGCGTATATAATTCTTCATCTGGCTTCATTCACTCGGCACATTCTGAAATCCATGAAGCGTGTATTGCTGTGAGCGCACCGGTGAGCTGGCTGCCTTCAGGACGGTCCCTCCTCCCACCGCATGAACACAGTAATGCCTGTCTGATATTATCAAGGCATGGCTCCCTCTCAGGACCTTCTCCTTAGTGTAAATGCATCACTGAGCAATCACCCGACCAAGTCCGCATCTCTTACACCCGAAATTCTGGTTGGCAGCGCTGGGAAGGAGGAAGGCCTCTCCGGGGCAGCCAGCCTCATGCTCCTGACAGGTCCATTCCTACTCCAGCTCTGTGTCACTCAGGACTCCTGTCTGTCCTCCTCTGGCTTCCACACCCCAAACTCCTCGTCTTAGAAAGAAAAGGAGGAGGCCCTATAAACTCCTTCCCTTAGTACAGGTGGAGGACTTGGCAATGCAGGTCACTTCCTCACACCAAGTCTTGGTTGGGCGTCTTCTAAGGGTATTGCCCCAATCATGTGTCTCTTCTGAGTTCCTGTGAGGTGGCTGATTTTATGAGCTGCACCTCTTCCAGGCCTCTCCTCGGCGTGAGCCTGAGTCATCTTTTCTGGACTGCAGTTGCTTTCATCTTCCAGCAATGACCGTCTCGACACTGGGCAGCGTCTCTTTCAGCAGGTTTGGTGCCGGAATATTGGCATTCTTGGTGTATTTGGGATCTAAAGGCCTGGGATGCCTAGATTAGGGCAAAGTGCCATGTGACCTTGGCAGCAGGTGACCAGAGAGTTCCTTGTATCTTAGGTCAAGGAAGTAGCAGGTGAGAAAAAGGCACTTTGTTTTTGGTGAGATGACTTAGAGTTCCATCATGTCGCCTGCAATGCTCTTCTGCTGAAGAATTCAGGAGATGCTCCCCCTCCCTGTCATTGGCGGATGCTGCGGAGGTATTTCTTGTTGCCTCTCTCCTCAGTTATAACTTGGCTTAACTCCATGGCTGAATATTAAAGACCATATTGAAAAAGAGTTCTCTGGGACCAGCAGTTGGCATAATGGCTATGTCCCTGGACTCCCATGTAGTCCACTGTGGTTTGAGTCCCGGACCCGGTAGCTTAAACTCACACCGGGCGTGTGTGCATGCGTGCCCAGGATCCTGAGAGGAGAATGGAGGAGAAGGGATTGCGGCATGGCCATCCCCCCGGGGAGTGATTTCTTGCTTTCTTTCTCTCTGTGTCTGTCTGTCTGGCAAGTGCATGGGCCCTATAGCAAAAACCTCTCCAAAAAAAAAAAGAAAAAGAGTTCCCTTTGTGTGGGACTTCTCCTGGGATTGCAGGGCAGGGTTATTTTTAGAGGCTCATACTAATGAAGCAAATATTTCTTGCCTGTTGTCTGCCTGTTGGAGACTCTAGGTAATGTTTACTGCTTCTGAACCTGGACGTCAGCAAAACATGGGCATGGTTTCTTTCAAAAGCGAATTGTGTTTTTCTTTAAAATTTTATTTTGTGAGTATCTAATACACAAACATAGTGAAATATTCAAAGACTATAAAGGAGAATATAGTGAGAAAGAATTCTCGTTCTGGCCCCAACTACCTGCCCACCCCCCCCCGGCAATTATTGATAATGATTTGTTTCATAATGTTCTGTGCATTTACAAGAAGATAGCTGTCTACACATATTCTCCAGTTTGTCCACTAGACACATAATTTATTTAAGTAGTCCTCTATCCGGGGCATTGACTGTTTGCGATCCTTCGGCCATTGTCACCTTGTGCAGAGTATCTGTTGTTGGATGTGCTTCCGTAAGTAGAATTGCTGACCGTAACAGAGGTTCATTTTAACTCTTGATAGATATTTCTGAAATAGCACATACTACTTTTGTTAGATCAGTGAGGAGAAGAGTTTGAGCTCAGCTCTGTTGTCTGAGAGAGGAAATTCTGTTTAATTTGTGTGTGTGGGGAGGCAATATCGATTGTTTGTGTCTTATGAGAACTACCTACTCTAACATGCCTTTGGAGATAAGTCCCATGCGACTGATTTTTAAAAACATTTAACACAGTTGTTCCTTATTTCACAAGAGCA